ATTGTAAAGAAGAGATTTCTAAGGCGGGTTACGACCTTGATGATGCAAACATAGCCATTTTGGAGGCTATTTTTATTCGAAATTAGTCGCCAAGCCTGCCAATTTATGAAAAATATATAAGCAGTTTTTTAAAAATGACTTTTTTATGGTTGTGCTAACTTAAACTTACTACTATTTCGCCCCTAGCCACAAAAACACCTTCATCAAATTTACTGGGTCTCTGTTGCAACCCGATAGAATAATTAACCGGTCTTTTTATTTGACAAAAATCAAAATAATAATGACTCTTACATGTCAAATTATTTAAAAGTGTTTGTATGCTTCTTTTGATATTTAAGTATTGCAAATAATTTGTAGTGTATCTCAATTCCGGTTTTCCATAAATAAAGGTAGCAAGACAGATAATATAATGTTCTTATACAAAACACTTACATTGAGGAGTTGAAGTGCAATATCATATAGATTATACCATATCGCAAAATAGATTCAACCAGCGAATTGTAAATAATAATTAGTCATAAATTTCCTCAATTCTTAAAATTTAAAAATGAATCTTCTAACTTTGGTTGTTAATAACGTAATGTGATCAACCCATTTCAAATTTTGATCCATTATGATACAGAGGTATTTTCTTGTGTTTTTCATTATAATTATAAAGTTATCAGTTATTTGTATGTTGAAAGAAGGCCTTTGTAAATTACAATGATCTATATGGATCTACTTTAACACAAAAATAGTTTTTAGGCTATAAGTTGCTATAACATAACCTATAGTCACAAAACTATTAATAATTTAAACATGGTAGGTAGTATTAATATACTCAAAACAGAAATAATTTATATTAAATACGGGTAAAATGAGGGGTAAAATACCAATAAATTAAGGGAAATACTTAAAAAGGGCAGGTTTAAAGAGTATTATCACAAGAAAGTATATCTGTTCTGTTTATTTATTAAGTATTGTTTGAGGTTACTTTTGAATACATTTTCTGTAGGCAGTTTATTAAATTTTTGCAAACCTTTAATAAAAATTGTATTTTGGAAACTTTTAGTGATGACTTGCTGTACATGAAAGTCAGATTGGCTTGTATTATACCTAGTTGTGATATTGAGAATTATATTGAATTTTTTCTAATAGGTCTGATGCAATGGTACTATGTCATTTTTATTTTATAAATAAAAATCAGTCATGTACTGAATATAATTCTGAACTAAAAGCCGATTTATTTTTTTTTAACATAGTTGCAATACACATCCTTTTGTCCTTTATTAATATTATACAGGGTGTTTCAAAAAGATTGGTCATAAATTATACCACATATTCTTGGGTCAAAAATAGGTCGATTAAACCATACTTACCTGTATACAAAAGTGCACTCAAAAATAGTTACAGGGTGTATAAGATAAAAATTTAAATGACTTTTTTTAACGCTGCTCTTGAACCGTTTGGCTTTTTTTCATGACATTTTATATGACGTGTTAGAATACCATGACTTATGTTTATTTACAACCATATATGTAATGTTGTCATTACTAACGTCATTGAAGACTGGGAAGTGTCACATTACACACCTCTACTTCCCGCCCTCACTTCCCGCCCTCATTTCATCTATTCTAGATGAATGAATAATTGCAACACTCTCAAACACTAGTCTTTGCTAGTTTTAAATAAAAGTAATGGAACATATTGTTTTTGTTTTTTTTTTTTTTTAATAATCCAGCACATTTACACCCAAAACACGAATTTTGAAAAATCTCACGTGAGATTAGGGAAGGGGGGGAGGGAGTTAAGGAAAATCTTACCAAATCTCGCCAGGGGGGAGGGGGAGTCAAAAAATCCTCAAAAATACCTCACGTAATTAATGGACGCCCCCTAAACAATTTTTATAAAAAATTTTTTTTTCCTTTTGTCAAATTTCTTGAATACGGAGCATTTTAGGAAAATTTTGTATAAAACAAAAATTATAGACAATAATATTAAAAGTAACTTTTATTTGAAGAATTTTCTTCTCCACACATAAATAATAGATATATTCCAAAAAATATAAAAATGACCACCCATAAAGTACCCCCTCAGATGTTCCGACTCTGCCCAAAAACTAATCAGTTCATTGGACGATGGAATAAAGCTTAAGTTTAAAATTTGATGTTTTTAAGTGTATCGGTTTATGAGTTATGGTGGACACACACACACACACACACACACACACACACACACACACACACACACACACACACACACACACACACACACACATACACACACACACATACACACACACACACACACACACACACACACACACACACACACACACACACACACACACACACACACACACACACACACACACACACACACACACACACACACACACACACACACACACACACACACACACACACACACACACACACACACACACACACACACACACACACACACACACACACACACACACACACACACACACACACACACACACACACACACACACACACACACACACACACACACACACACACACACACACACACACACACACACACACACACACACACACACACACACACACACACACACACACACACACACACACACACACACACACACACACACACACACACACACACACACACACACACACACACACACACACACACACACACACACACACACACACACACACACACACACACACACACACACACACACACACACAAAATCAACCAGAATGTTTGCTGGATACTCAATATGAAAAATTCGCAGCGAAATAGTATTATAATAGCATAAAATTTTAAGAGGCAAAAATTGCCCCTGGCTAAACCGCTGACCTGGAACACACTAATTAGGTATATAATAATAATAATAATAATAATATCGTCTTTATTATTTTCAATATAAATTTACAATTTTTTCATAATTTTAACAATTATACAAGAATTATTATTGAAAATAAAGGGCGAAGTTCAGATTTGAGAAGGAGGATCCATCACAAAATCTGTTCTTCCACTTAACCCAAATATAAATAATAAGCATAAGCTAGTACAAAACTAGAATGGTAGGATACATTAAATTAATTTTAATTACCGTAAAATGGGGTTAATTGGGAACCGCGGGGCTATTTGGGACCTAACGAAAAAAAATTAATTTGGCAACGCTGCCACAACAGGTGCACGTCTAACCAAAATGTGCGGGCCGCACCACGTGGTAGCATGTTTAGGGCGAAAGTGATGACTCGTTTCAGTCCGTTGAATTAACTGTTCGAAGCGTGAGGTGACTTGCAAGAAATTGTAAAAATCGACGTAAAAAACGATAGTGTCCAACTTTCTGTTCTCGGAATTGGATTGCTAGTGATAAGGTAAGTTTGATAGTTGTAACTAATTGTTAGGTGACTGTAGATGACCCAACATAAATATTGTAAAGATATATTACATGTTAGATTTTTAATAGGCTATTTTTTTTGGTGGGGTAATTTGGGACATAACAATGGGGTTATTTGGGATAGCAAAAAAACATGAAATATATGACCGGTAACAGTGATTTTTTGCCTCTAGGCTGTAAAAATGGTACGAAACTATCGAAGCAAAATGAGCAATTGCCGAAAAGGAAAAAATTTTAACCCATACTTCTCCTATTCGGAGATTAATTTAGCGAAAGCCCTAGATGATATAAAAAAACAAAAACGAAATATTAGAGCCGCAGCCGAAAAGTATGGTATTCCTAAATCCACGCTAGGAAGGAAACTTCTTGGTCAAAATATGCAGCAAAAGCGTCCGGGTAGACCGAGCCTGTTCAACGATGATGAAGAAAATGTTTTTGTTCAAAACCTGAACACGGTTGCTTCATGGGGCTATCCATTTGACTTGAGAGACTTGAGAATGATGGTGAAACGATACCTCGATAAGAAAGGAGTTCGGGACAGAAGATTAAACGAAAACATGCCGGGAAAAGACTGGGCTGTCAATTTTATCAAACGACATAAAAATGAAATATCAAATCGCCTTTCGGCTAATATATCAACCAAACGGGCCGCTCTTTCAGAAGATGTGTTAGATAGGTTTTTTGAAAATGTCTCCCAAATGTTGTCTGAGACGGATCCTTCTCTTATTATTAATTTCGACGAGACAAATCTCACAGACGACCCAGGGTCTAAAAAATTCATTTATAAGAGGGGCACCAGATACCCAGAGAGGATAATTAATGCCACCAAAACCGCAATTAGTCTGATGTATGCAGGAACAGCCGATGGACAGCTTCTTCCAATATATGTTGTTTACAAGGCTGATCATTTATGGGATTCCTGGACCGTCGGTGGTCCTCCAGGTACAAGGTATAATCGTTCCAAGAGTGGCTGGTTCGACAGTATATGCTTTGAGGATTGGTTTTTCACTGTAGTGGTACCATTCTTTCGGAACAAAGATGGTCAAAAGGTACGTAGGCTCTAGTTTTTCCAAACTTTTAGGTCCACTTATTTTAATTTTTTTTAGGTCCTTATAGGAGATAATCTCTCCTCACACTTTTCAGAGAAAGTTCTCCAGAAGTGCGAGGAATTAGATATTGCATTCATATGTCTGCCACCTAATGCAACACACATTATGCAACCGCTAGACGTTGCGTTCTACGCGCCACTAAAAAAATATTGGCGAGACATTCTAAGCAATTGGAAGAAGACAGCTGGTCGTAAATTTCCGTCATTAACAAAAGATGCATTCCCCAGCCTTTTATCAAAGTTGCAAGAAAAACTTGAGGAAGGGGGAAAAGGCTCGTCCAATTTGGTGTCAGGATTTTCCAAAACTGGGCTATATCCTGTAGACCCATCAAGACCGAAAGAAAGACTACCTAGATTACAGGAACCGGTAAATGTTGCTAATGTAGTCTCTGACGTGATAATAAATATTTTAAAAGATATGAGATCTGGGGACCAAACAAAGAAAGTTGCTCGACGTAAGAGGCTTAATGTGGAGCCTGGAAAAAGTGTGTCGGCAAATGATTTATCCATGCCATCTACATCTGGCAGTATATCGAAACAGCCGATATGTCAACCTAAACGACTAGACCGTGCTGAAAAAGGGCATAATAGTTCCGAAAGCGATGAAGAACATGGGCAAGAAAATGACGAATCTGAAAATTTTTCCGTTAATAGTGATGATTTGCCACTAATAAACATAAAAAAATCCTTACAACATTCCAAAAATGCTGAAATATTCAGCGATGAGGGAGCAAGTATTTCAGCTGAAGTAAAAGAAGGCAGTTGGATAGTGGTCGAGTATGAAGTAAAGAAAAGTACAAAGCACTTTATCGGCCAAGTTAAGCAAGTTCTTGACTCGACACTACATGTGGAATTTTTAAAAAAATCGGACAAGTCCAGTGGAAGGTTTATTACTCCTCTTGTACAGGACACTGATCATATAAGTGGAGATATGGTCGTGAAGATCTTAACACCACCAATATTAACGGGAACAGGAAGAAGGAAATTTTACAGCTTTAATATTGATCTCATGCCTTTTAATTTTTAAAGAGTGTCAAAACAAACCTAATTTTGTGTTATTTTTGCCAAAGAATTTATTTTTTTTTTATTTTTGTAACTTAGGATATTATTTGTAAACTTTTGGTTATAACTTCAGAATAAATGTTTACTTTTTTAAAATTTATTTTAGGTGTCCCAAAAATCCCCTACAATCGATATTATTCGAGTTCTAACGTAATTTGCTATTAATCCCAAATAGCCCCACCCTACGGGGTAATTTGGGACAGCTATAAAAAAAATTTTTTTAGTCCCCCTCCATAATGGGGGAGGCTTATTGTTTTATGTAAGACAGATACACCTACTACCTTTCCAAATATATATAAACAAGGTGGATAATAAGTACAAGTTTGAAGTACCAACAAAAAATGTTTCAAATTTGTCCCAATTAACCCCGTTCTAGGTAATTAATTAATTTTAGTATTTGAGGTGTAATAAACTTTAATAAATTTTAATTTTGTTTATTTAACAAAAATAGTTTTAGGCAAGGTTTGAACCTGGTTATATTTAATTTTATTAGGTTATTAGGTAACTGATTGTAAAGATGGCAGATCTGATATCCGAATGATCGACGAAAGAATTCTGTATTGAACGAGGGTATTGACAGTGATCCCTTATCTCTAATATTTATGTTATGTACGTCGGTGCGGTAGGTTATTTTTCTATGAAGATATGGATGTTTTTTAGTTACAATGATTCTATGAAAAAGACTAAGTGTGTGAAGTAATCTCCTATTCTCCATATTTAACCATTCTATTTCTCTTAATTTATAAGAAATTCTCTGTTGTCGGCGAAGACCGTATATTAACCTCAAACATGAGTTTTGTACTTTTTGAATTTTCTTCTTATACTGAATAGTTAGATGTGGACCATAGACAGAACTTGCGTAATTAAATATTGAAAGAACCAAAGATTCACATAACTTCACTTTCACGTGAAATGGGAGAAAATATCTGTTACCATAAATTATTTTTAGTTTAGAATAAGCACGTCTTATAAGTTGGTTTACATGTTTTTCAAACCGCAAGTTTGTATCCAATCATACTCCAAGATTTTTTACTTCGTTAACTACAGTTAAAGACACATTATTTATTTTAATATTTAATATTTAAGTGATAAGCCCTATTCTTTGTTTCTAAGCCGATATGGGCGCAGAAAACGGTCGATGGGAGTAAACTGAGTAGCATGGCTAAAAGGTATTAGCCTTTTAATCGGTGATTTTGATTAATTGTGATCACATATCAAGATTATTTGTTATAGTTACGATTAATGTAGTTAGTTGTAGTTTTGTTTTAAAAAATAGATCCAAACTCTTATCAATTAACATAAACTACATGATTAGTATTTAAAACTCCTCAAAAAATTTAAAACATATTATCTTCTTTATTGTTTGATTTATGTCTTCATCTTAAATTTATCTTAAATACGCCATATTATTATTGATATACCTGTCGCTTGTATGTCGTCTATTTCTGTTAGTTTCAACCCAATATTTTTTGACAATCACATGTAATTAATTGGTTACATTAGAATTGTTAATAGTCTTCTGCTAAGAAAATAGTCATTAGCTTATTGTCACTTCGTTTTCTATGCAGTTGCGTCTTCCCACAACTTTAAAATTGTCTGTAAACACCTGGCGCCGCTAGTTTTACTACGCCGTTGTCGTTTAAATAATTCATTATTTTATTCAATTCAGAATGTATATCCTGTTATTTCTCTGCCAACTTCTATTCCATTCTCCTAGAGAGAGGAAGTTTTGTATGTAGCAAGGTAGACAAACATTTGATTATAGAATATTGATTGAGGAATACAAGTTTATTTTTATTACTGTACTTACTCATGATCAAGTGAATGCAAATACTTTTTTAGCTTATCTTTTTTTATTTATAATCTTAGTGGTGCATTCAAGATGGAAAAAGAAGAATCTTGAAAATAGAGCTGGATATTTTTTTGTTAAAATATTCAATTAACTCCTCCAAACAATATTTTAAATATCTATCAAGAAAACATGTCAATTGGGTTTAAATTAAACACTGATCTGGCAACCTGGAGATACGACATGTGTAAGAGAAGAGTGAGATGGGTCGGCAATTTGCCCATTTTGATAGGTTATCTTTCTAGTGTCATTTTTGTAATTAAATTTAGATTTTATTTGTGTGTGAACGATTTGTGAGTGTTGAAAACTGTATAAAGTGCGTAATTCGTTCCTGCGCTAGCAATACTCGTCTAAGTCAAAAATTTACTGGAATAATCTTTCTTAGGCCAGGTTTGCATGAAATGTGCAAAAGTATGTTTTTAAAAATACGAATAAATATCCATCAAATTCTGAGCCTACCTATATTGGAATAATCGTTTATCATGTGAAATATTATTAGATTTTCGAAAAATTCTGAAAATCGAAAAGAGATACTGCCGCTCGCTACCCTTAATAAATTACCCTCTACACAGGCATAACCACGGATATTACCAATTCAGGGTCATATGTTCCAAGAATTTTCTGTATGACCTTCGCTCGATTGAGAAACTTTCATTTGAATAGTTTTGTAAAAAACACAATATTTAATCTGCATACAAAAAATTAGGTAGGGGATGCCAGGGTATAACGGACACGTTAAGGAAAAAAATCATAATTCTCGTCTAAATGAACTTTAATAAAAATAACTTGTCGTGTTATATTGCTTACATGTTTATTAATAAAAATATAATATAATGAAATAACACCAAGGGTAAACTAACCACAAATAAACAAATAAATGTCATGTATTTGCTCGTGCTGCCCCGATATTGGGGCAAAATGGGAGCACGTAGTAGGAGAGCCCACTGCAAATTTCGACCGTCATCTGATAACGAAATGAAATATGCTTCAGAGGCATGTAAAAATATTGTACTTTACCAAACGGCACCTGTGCCTATCACTATCCTGAGCAAAATAGTTAAAACAATGGCACTTCCGGTGTCATAATTAGCGAGAAATGTCGTCATTTGATAACGAGGTAAGATTTATGCCATCGCATAGCTATTGATTAATAGAACTTAAAAATGTACCTGTGCCACCTTATTTCCTGAGCCAAATGCTTGCCACGGCCTATTTGTTCAGCCAAAATTCTCGACAAACTTCCGTCATGTGATAACGAGTTAAAACAATATGCATTCGAAGGGGCATAATGTCTCATTCAGGAATATCCACGTTTTAACCTGAGCTAAGTTGCTGGCACAGCGTAATTTCTGTGACGCGCCTCGCCCAACTAATTTATTTCATATATACAAAAAATCACATAAGCCATGACAATGAAAATTATTTGTATTGAAAATTACAATCCTGATAATCAATTTTGAACCTATTAGTGAATCCTCGATTTGTATTCGAATTTTATATACTTTTTTACAGACTTAAAAATAAGAAGACGGTTTTCAAATCGTCGGAATGTAATTTTTTTTTATGTATGTTCAGCGATAATTCTATACCAACGTTGTTTGATTTCCATGATTCTTTTTTTGTTAGAAAGATGGTACCTCAGTGGTGGTCACATATAATTTTGGTCAATATCTGATGATGGGATACACGAGAAAATGATCAAACTATTCAATTTGTAAAAGCAACTGTACGATTTAGGAGTCTGTTTTTTAAAATTACTTTTATAACTTGTTAATAATTATCAATATACAGGTTTATTATTTACCAAAATAACTTAGGTATTTATTTAGATAAATTTGATTACTATTTATATCCGTCTAAACAAGTAAACTATTGTAAAATGGTATTAAATAGGAACAGCATTAATTTTTTAAACCTAAAATATTAAATTTTATCTTTTAAACTATAATCATAGTAGGCAGTTATCCCGTGAAATATCGGAAAATGTTGGTTATCACCCAGAGTGCGAAGCCAAGTTCATGGTTTTGAAAAAGAAGTACAAGGATGAATTCGATAACATGTTCAAAATGGATGTAAGTATAAAATATGTTTAAGGATTATAAACAGCAAAATACGTCTACTAGTGATGAATGGGGTTACAATTGGCGTTTCACATTCGAACTGGAACAAAAAATCTGATGTGTCCAACACATGACTTTCCTATCTAGTTATTATAGGCTTTTTCCGGTTATTTTGTACAACCTATTGCAGCATCTCTATAAATGTTTAGATGATAAACTAAATATATACATTGTCCACATACATCTACCTTGAAACATTTTTCTATAGATATTCATGGAAAACGAAAATACTGAAAAATTTAAATTTCCTACAATTTTTTCATTACGGTCCATTTTAGAGAAATCATGTATTAACAAAAATTGTAGAGATCGATATCGCAAACAACTTTTATTTCAAAAACTTTCATAAAAATCAGAATTTTGCACATTTTGTCAAATTTCTCGAATAAGGACCATTTCAGGAAATTTTTACATAAAACAAAAATTATAGATAATAATATTAGAAGTAACTTTTATTTAAACAATTTTTTTCTCCAAACATTAATAACAGATATATTCCATAAAATATAAAAGTGGCCTCCCATAAAGTACCCCCCCAGATGTTCCGACTATGTCCAAAATCTAATCATTTCACGTCAGGCCGAAATAAACCTTAAGTTTAAAATTTAATGTTTTTTTCTTTATCCGTTTTTGAGTCTTCAAAATTCGAAATTTACACATTTTCTCAAATATCTCGAATACGGTCCATTTTAGAGAAATTATGTATGGAATAAAAATTAAAGAGAATTATATTAAAAACAACTTTTATTTGAACAATTTTTATAAAAAATTATTTTTTTTACATTTTGTCAAATTTCTCGAATACGGACCATTTTAGGAAAATTTTGCATAAAACAAAAATTATAGATAATTATATTAGAAGTAACTTTTATTTAAAGAATTTTCTTCTCCAAATGTAAATAACAGATATATTCCATAAAATATAAAAATGACCACCCATAAAGTACCCCCCAGATGTTCCGACTCTGCCCAAAATCTAATAAGATCATTGGACGC